TTTCTGTTTTCTGCAGTGTGTCCTCTCTTTCCCTGCCACACTGAGAGAAGCTAAAACCAGAAGAGGGAAGAAGAACGAAAGTGAAAGCACAGGCCAGTTCTACTGTAGTCCTCCTCTCCGTAGAGGGTTGAGAAAGCCTAGGTCAGGCCTGAGCCTCTGAAGGGAAGGAAACCAGGCTGGAGCGCTAAATCAAACTCGACTCCGTGTGTGCATGTGTGTGAGCACATTTGCAAAACTGTAACATGATGACTTTTCAATGTAAAAAATGGAACTGCATGTCCCCTTCCGTGAATGTATCTTATTGCTGTCTCTATTAATATAAAAAGTGAGATTATAGCCTGATGGTATTTTGATCTTAAATCATCTATATGGCTAATCATGAGGTTAAGGACTGTTAGAAAACCAAGATGACTGTTGGAATTTAAACCCAAAATTACTCCAGCTTTGCAGATTGAGTTTGTTTTTTTTTTTTTTTTTTTTTTTTTTTTTTTTTGAAATGGAGCCTCACTCTTGTCTCCCAGACTGGAATGCAATGGTGTGATCTCAGCTCACTACAACCTCTGCCTCCCGGGTTCAAGCCATTATCCTGCCTCAGCCTCCCAAGTAGCTGGGATTACAGGCGCCTGCCACCATGCCTGGCTAATTTTTGTATATTTAGTAGAGGCGAGGTTTTACCATGTTGGCCAGGCTGGCCTCAGACCCCTGACTTCAAATGATACACCCACCTCGGCCTCCCAAAGTGCTGGGATTACAAGAGTGAGCCATCGTGCCCAGTCAGATTGCGAATTTTTTAAATGTTCACTTTATGGCATTAATCTTTCTGTACCTCACTTCTCCTTATTGGCAAACAATGTAGATTTTAAAAACAGAGTAAAAATGAAGAGTTATTTTTGGCAGCTGGCATCTATGCACCCAATGTGCAGAAGCAATAGTCTCAGCTGTGAAATGAGAGGATTAATTCATCTCTACATGGCCTTCTAGCTCTGAACTCTATGAAACTTAATGCCACTAAGAAGCATGGCAGTTTCCCAAATGCCGACCTCCAGGCTAAGAGAGCAAATGTACCATGGGGTCACCATCTGGTATTATAGCGCTTACTTGAGTTTGTGTGTTGCTTAATGACTAATTGGCTACTAACAGTGGAGTTCTCTGGATTCATTTATTCTAGTCAAATGAACACATAAGCTAAAGTTCACAACTAAGAACTGTGCCATTCATTTACCATCTGGAAATGAAAAGCTTAATTTCACTGCTGGGCAAAATAGAAGACGTAGAACTCAAGTATCAGTAGGTCGCAATAAACTAAGTTTTAAAAAATCCACATTGCCATGACCCCATTAAGTTTAAATAAAAAGAGTGAATACCAATGCAGAGAATTCTATTGCAACCCACTTCTTTCTACTTCTTTAAATAATGTGTGGTGTGAATGTGTGTGTCTATGTGTTTAGATTTTGTGAGAAATGAACAAAAGACTTTGGTGTGTTATTTTAAATTGCTAGAACTTGGAAAGTTTCATTTATGTTCATCAGGATATATGTAGCATAAACCATTTCAGTTTTGCATTTATACTAAAAGTTGGTAAGGCACATTGTATCAGGTTTGTTGACAGGAAGCCTATAATTTTATTTTACAAAAGATTTGTGCAAGGTCAAATTTCCAAAGGAAAATTGACCAATTTTCCAGAAATTTTTAAAGGGTAAGTAGCACTCCACTGAGGTTTTTCTATCTAGTGTTCATTAATGTGGATGAATCCTGGTTAGGAAGACTGGGGAGGTGTCTGGATGCAACCCCGCAGGGTGGATGTGAAGGCAAGCAGAAGGAGAGCAAGGGGAATTGACTGGCATTTACCATCAGTGGATTTCTGATACTTGAAACCACAGCTGACACTAATCCTCATTTTGATTCCCATTTCAGCCTCTAGCTATTTTTAGGGCAAAGAACTGGAGACTTTATATGAGAGGTTAAATGTAGTGATGGATGTTAAATAGGGAGTTAATGGAAACTCTCATCCCTCTCAGAACGCATCCTCAGGTTTGGGTGAAATGCATTTGCCTCAAATGCAAAAAGAACATAAAGAAATGACAGTGAGGAGGGAAAGAGGGACCAATTTGAAGGCTGGATCTCTGATCTTTAGCTGAATATCATTTGGTCTGTGGCACAAGCTCCCAGATTTGATTTGATTTAGAGCTGCAATCATGAAAATGCAATAAAGTATTACAAACATTTAGTGGCAATATTCTATATTAAAAGATGAAGACAGGATGGTTTATGGTTCCTTATGAATAGACAAGGCATTTTAAGAAAAGAAAATAGTATGACCCACGCTTCTCAGACTGTACCCTGCTGGAGTATGAGCAAGATGGCATGGGGACAGTAACACATTTCTGACTTGCCACTCCTCCATGGCTAACCTACAAGATGCAATTTATCCTCTTTCAACAGTTGACAGACAGGCAGTGCCTTAGTCCTCTGATTTTAGGAAGTGAGGCTGGGTGAGGATTTGGTGGTGATGTCTATGACTAAATGAGAAGCAGGGTATTCAGATTGGCCAACAGGTACACAGATTTCCCAGCCAGAGCCTGTCTCCTCTTCACATTCAGAGCCAGGGCTGCTCACCCTCCACGCACCCATGTCTTTGCTTCCCATGCACCCTGGGAAGCCTCTTGCTCCCATGAAAGGGAGTCCCCTGCCCACCTCCCCCTCAGTCTCCACAGCCGGATTCCAGCCAAGGGCTATGTAACCCTCTCCCAACTCTCTTCCAGGAGGCAGAGCACCTGGCTTAGGTGCCTGGCATGGGCATCGCCCACTCTTGCCTTGCTCTGGTGGACTCTTTGTCTTCTCTGTCTCCCCTTCCTCAGGGTCTTGCCAGTCTGTGAGGGAGGCGATGCCCTGGCTAACCCTCCTAAAGGCTTGAGGGGCTGAACTGGCTCAGCTGCCTTGACTTTCACATAACCAGGTGGCATTAGCTGGCTTTGGAGGCTGGCCCAGATGCCCAAACCTCACCACAGCAGTTGCAGGCACCTTCCAGGAGTGTGTGCTGAGATACTTACATTTCTGAAGGCTGTCCCAGCAATGGACTCCCTTTGATGACTCTTTCTTCCAAAGCAAAGACAAGGTGAGTCACTCTTCGTCTGGGCAGTCACAGACATATTTATTAATGCTTTTTGAGACAGGGTCTCACTGTGTTGCCCAGGCTAGATCATGTGTGGCATGATCATGGCTCATTGCAGCCTTGACGTGCCTGGCTCAAGCAATTGTCCCACTTCAGCCTCCCAAGTAGCTGGAACTACAGGCACATGCCACCACACCCGGCTGGTCACAGCCATATTTAAAACACTAATCACCTTCAGGATATTGTCTCACCACTAGATCAGAAGCTCTTCAATAAGTACCTTATTGGTATGTGTTTTGCAGGACCTTATTTCCTAATCTGTAAAATGGGATAAATGATATGTGCAAAATGCTTAGAATCCTGTTTGGCACTATGAAGGTCTCAGTAAATAATAACCATCGTCATTAGTATAATGATAATTTAATACTATATTAATACCATTACTATGTCAGCATCTAGTAGAGTACCCAGCATAGGTGGGGCCTTAACTATGTGGTTTTGTTGAGTAGATGACACTGCAGAAAACTGTAAGGAGAAAAGCCTTGCCTGACGGAGGGATGAATAATAGGAAGCAATGGGAAATCAGGAGATGGGGTGTGTGCCTGTGTTATTCCCTTCCCTTTTCCCTGTCGTGCTCTGCTTAATGGCCTCGTGTTTTCTCTTCACTGCAGCCTCCAGGTGGAACAAGGGGGTAGGAGGAAGGATAAGCATCCTGCTTTTAGATACTGTTTCGCCTTTGACATTTCCACTATTTTCAAAAGTTGAGGTTTTATTAAAAGTCCTCCATCGATCAGCTAATTCCCCCTCAATGCCATGCTTCCTCCCTAGGTAGCAGTGGGTGGTGAGTGGTGCTAATTTGGGTTGCACGAGGAAAGTAATCAGACTCATTTCAAGAACAGAATTCTGGTAGCAGAGGACTAGACTATCCAGTATATGCCACAAACTCCTCATTGGCATAAAAAATGGTTTATTAAGACAACAGGTACATCTGTTCACTTCTATTTGTGTATAAACAGAGATAATACATAGAAGCAACGGAACCCAGTATTTCTGTACATAAGAACTACTTTACTTCCCTGCTTCCATTGTTGAGATTCTCAGCAGATCACAAAGGCAATGTTTGAAAACTTCCCATTTATTTTGTCTAAACCTCTGAATTGAAGCAACACAAGTGAAAACATTACCAGGTAATACACTGAATACATTATCTCGAATTTAGCCATTATAGGTTTATTCACCCCCTTGCAAGTTTGCAGAAACAGCCCCTCAGGGTCCCCTTCTAAGCGAGAAAAAAGGCCAAAAGCACTTCTTGCCCATGTTTTGTACGGTTTGACCCTGCAACCCTGGTCACAGTAGACTTGGCCAGGGAGTGGTGCTTGGCATACAGGCAGACATGCACAGCATGAGGCGGCCTGGTACAAGGATTTTGCTTATGTGAGGCATTCTGGGGTAGAAGAGGACTGGGGAAAGCATTCAGAGCCTTCTTCTGATCGCCCAGGGAGGGGCATAGTCAGTAGCAGTGGCAGAAACCAAGAGACTTGGAGAGAGGAGTTGTTAAGCTGAAGCTATGAGGTGGCCGACGTTATACGGGAAAGCAGAGTAGAAAGAGGAAAAAGTAGAAGCAGGGAGAGTCAGGAAGATAAATGGGACTGGAGGAGTCACTCGGAGAGGAAACAAGACAGCTTCTCTGAAATGACAGCTACCAAAGCTCCTGTTAGGATACTAGAGGGTTTGTGGTTTTCCCAATGGTACAGGGGAGAAGAAATGGCTTTCCTTCCCATCTCAGGTTCATGGCTGGGGCCCCTACAACAAAAAGATGAATAAGCATACAAACTTATTAAGTTTAATGTGACACGGGCGCCTTCATAAGGAAATGAAGACCCAAAGGAACAGGTAATCTTGTGTATTTTTATGCTTAGGTTTGATGGAACATGGACAGTCATGGAGAGGTTTGCTAGGAAGACACAAAGGTATGGCTCAGTGGTAACAAACAGAGGGAAACTTAGCAAGACTTGTTTGTTCAGACTCTTCTTGGCATCTCTTGGTCTTTGGCTCTTTTCTTCCAAGTATAATGAGGGGCACTTTCACATGGGGTACTGCTCATGTGACCTGCTACACGGCAAGGCCGGGAAATCCTGTCTGGGGTTTCAGGACCTGCTTCAGGGGAGAAAGGAATATGTGTCAGACAAAACCTGCTTCTGTGGTTTTCTCAAATGCCCAGGTACCATATTTTGGGGTAGTATGTTCTGAACCCCCTCACTGGCAACAAGAGTCTTCCATTTCCAGGAGGCCTCCTAAGTCTCCAGGCACAGTTGGTCCTTGGATTTCCTCTCTTTGCTGAGTAGGTATTTTTGAAAAAAAAAAACAAACCAAAACAAAACAAAAAAACAAAGAACAAAACACAACCCCTGGGGAAGCCCGAGCACATCTCAGCTACTGCCTCACTTATCCAGGCCTGGTTTAGCTTTCTCCTCTGCCCCTGCCTCACGCTGTTGCCTTCAGAACCAGCCAGTAGAAGTGGAGGCTGCAGGGGCTTGGGTACAATGAAGTGATGGAGCTAGTGCCTGTTTCAATGAGCTGGGAAAGGTGAGGACAAACTACAGCCTGGACTCCTGAAGTTCACGGATGCTGAAGTCATTGTTGCCTTCGCCTGCAGGGCAGCTTAAATCTTTCTGCTTAGCTCAGTGGTTCCCAGCCCTGCCTGCACGTTAGAATCACCAGGGAAGCTTTTAAACCGCATGAAGGAGGAGACTGGTCACCTCAGACCAGTTAAACCAGATGCTCTGTGGGGGGGGGGGGTGTTGAAGCCAGGCACTGGTATTTCTAAAATGCTCCCCCATGTGATTTGAAGGTACAGCCAGGCTTGAGAACTATCACTTAACTGCAATTATAATCATCAATTATTTTAACCTAATAATGATCAATTATTACAGCTCCCCCACCAGCATGTATTGACCTGATAGTTAGCTATAGGTAGTCATTGTCTCAAACTTTTTTTTTTTTTTTTGGCCACTAATTCTTACTAAAGAGTTTCAGTTTGTTATTAAGTTTTACCACACAAAGATATTTCTATGGCATAGTGGTTCAGAAGATGTGATTTCTGAAATATATTCTCTCTAGGAGAACCATCTATTTGTAAAAGTGCAGGACCTGGTTGCCTTTACTCATGGAGAGTCCCTACACTTTGATGAATGGAGTCACTTGGTTGTTTATGGATATTTTATAGACCATATAGATCCAACCACAGATTAACAAAAAATAAAAGTTTTCCTCCTCTAATGTATCTTTATAGATCATATAGATCTAAACACAGATTGACAAAAAATAAACATTTTCCTCCTTTAATGCAATGGTGTAGTGCCTTCTTTTTTCATCTGAGCAAAAAGACAAGGTTAGGTACTCAGTCATTTTATGACAGTGGGATACAATTTTGGAACACAAATAGATGCAGCTGAAATCCTTTTACTGTTCTTTCCGCTCAGCTCAGGTGAAATACTCATTTTCAACCTTGCTGTCACTCCCGACAGTGATTGCCGTCTAAATCTATTATTATAGCTTCTGTCTTCCGACCTTGATATCCTCTAACTACCCACTTCTCTCCTGTTCTTCAGCTGCGTTCTTATCTTTGCTCTCTCGGGTTGGAATTCCCCTCCTTCACCTCCCTGATTTCTGTCTCTGCTTTTCTTTTCAAAATGCCGTGCTGATATCACCCTTCCAGCTTTGTCTAGCTTACCCTATTCTTAGAAATACTCATTGCTTCACAAGAAACATTTACAGCTTTTACGTGGATTCTTCTGTAACCATTAAACTCTTGAAAAGTAAAGATACCAAAAATATTTACATGTTGGCTTTTTAAAAAAATCACAAATAATAACAACACACTGTAAATATCTTTACAAATCTAAGTCAGGTTCCTGCAAAGCAATTAACCATAGTGCCTTTCCAATTACTCTAAAAGACCTCTGCCAATGAAACGGTATGCGCTTTTCTGGGTTCTATAGCCCCTTCTTTAATAGCATCTTCCTCTTTGGTTCTAATTCCACCAAACCCTCATTTATCACTGTCTCTAACAAGAATCTGTTGAGACAGGAAACTCCCTTTCCTCAGGGAGTAGGGCTTCTCAAATGTTAACATGAATAAAAATCACCTGGGGGGGTCTTAATAAAACTCAGATTCTGATTCAGTAGGGTCGGCTGGGGCCTACGATTCTACCTTTGCAAGCAGCTCCCAGATGATGCGGCTGCTGCTGGTCAGGGAAACACTATTTCAGGGAACTTCTTAGCAGCTTTGGTGCTCGCCCCAGACGTTGTATCACCAAAGATTTCCTTGGGCTCAACTAATATGGTCTCAAAAAATCAACTCTCGGCTGGGCACGGTGGCTCACGCCTGTAATCTCAGCATTTTGGGAGGCCGAGGCAGGCAGATCACTTGAGGTCAGGAGTTCGAGACCAGCCTGGCCAACATAGTGAAACCCTGTCTCTACTAAAAATACAAAAATTAGCCAGGCGTGGTGGCGGGAGCCTGTAATCCCAGCTACCCAGGAGGTTGAGGCAGGAGAATCGCGTGAACCCAGGAGGTGGAGGCTGCAGTGAGCCAAGATTGCACCACTGCGCTCCAGCCTGGGTGACAGAGGCAGACTCCGTCTTAAAACAAAACAAACAAACCCCAAACAAACAACAATCAACTCTCAACCAATTCCTGAATTAAGATTAGGTGAATAGCTTTCATATTGATGTTGGTTCTCAAACTGTACTTAAAAGCTTTCTTTTTTGCTGTTTTTTTTTTTTCATTTTGCCAATCCATCTTCCTAGTTTCTGACTGAAACTAGGTTACTTATGTAAACACGACATGTCATTTGCTTCAACTCTTGGTCCTTAATCATTCCTCCTGAGCAACTCATTTACAACAGTAGTTATATTCTAATTTTTTTTAACATTTACTTTTTAAATCATAAATTATCTTTTTATTAGCACTTTTAAAACTTTCACTGTTTTTGAATTTAATAGACATGATGGGATTAAGAATGTTCAGAAAGCACCTCAAACACAAACATGCCACAGACTAATAAACAATGCATTGGTCAAGACAGAAATGATCAGTCACAACCAGTAAAGCTATTTTTTAGTGACAGGCAAGAGTCTTTTTGAGTGGATTTGGTGCTTTGTTGGAATGTATGAAACTTAGTAAATTGAAAGCTTATGTGTAGAGTTTAATTAAATAAAAGAAAAAATACGTAATATTTCCCAGTACTTGTGGTTTTCAAATCTATTAGATAATAACGGACCTGTCTCTGATCATTTGATCACTTGCTTTGTACCAGGCACTGTTTCTGAAAGGTAGAAGAAGGCTCAATAAACAGCACTCCTCTTTCTTATTTGTCTGAGCAAACTGAGAAGTAAAACAATAGAGTCACCATAAAGGGGCCAAAACATCACTTTTATTTCTAGGAAGACTGATGGAACACATGGCTTATATTCATGGGCAAGCAGAACTTCTAGTGCCCAATCACAAAAAGCATGGGGTTGCCCTTCAAGCCTGTCCTTAGGCAGCAGAATGAATGCTCTTTGTTGGAAGTTTTCACTCAACAAAAAGAAAAGACGATGAGACCAAGCTCCCGACTTCCTAGCTCACTAATCAACGTAGTCACTTCTTCCCGACCAGGAAAGGCTGGGTACTTCTTTATGTTAGCAGAAGAGCTCCCTTCCCACGGAAGAAAACATCAAGAGTGCGGAAGAGGTAGTTCCCCAGCTACAAGCTAAGTCTTTTATCTTATTTAACTCCTGCAACAAAACAACATTTACTGGGTGTCTGTTATGTGCAATTCACTGTTTTCAATGCTGGGGATGCAAAGCTTAATAAGACAGAGCAGTTTACATCAGGGCCTGTACTTGTGCTACCCACCTTACTGGCCTCATCCAATCCCAGCCCTAACAGATCTTGTGTATTTAAAATTTTGATATTTTGTTCATCACAGATTTTTTTTCATTAATTTTCAATTTTTAAAATATCGTATTAAAATATTACTTATCTTGATTGCTGAGCTTTTTGGCTCCCGTAAATTTTGTACCTGAGGTGAATGCTTTGTCTTGGTTTTAAAATAAATTTGTAAACAACTAAATTAATAAATAACAATTAAATAATTATTGAATAAATTTTCTAATGTGTACTAAGTTGAGAAACAGGCTACGTGATAGGAAGTGATTGGGTGTGTAACTTGAATGGTAAGGAAAAATCTATCTAATGTGATGCTATTTAGGATGTGACCCTTACGTTATAAGGAGCCAGACAGGGACAGTTTGGAGAAAAGTTTGTGAAAACACTACAGGTGGAAATAAACCTGGAATTTTCAAAGAACATACCAAAAAAAAAAAAAAAAAAAAAGGAGGCTATTATGTCTTAATTGTCAAGGACATGATAGGTGACTAGTAATCAATTTGGATAGAGTGCCAGAAAAGGTTCCAATTTTAGGGCTTTCTAAGGGGGTAAGGAGTTTGAATTTTATTCCAAGTGCCTAGGAGGCAATTGGAAGATTTTAAGCAGGGGAGCAACGTGATCCGATTGATCTTTTAAATAACTCTCTCCGGCTGCTGTGTCAAGGATGGATTATAGGGGTGTGCACGGCAAAAGAGTAGAATCTGGAAGAATTGTCAGTGTTCCTACTGAAAGAGGATGGTGCCTTCGACCAGAATAAATATAGTTATAGATATAGAAATAGAAAGAAAATATATATAGAAAATAAATATATAGATAAATAGATAAATAAATAAAAATAAATATAGATATAGATATAGAAAGAGGAGCAGGTTCCAGAAATACGTCAGGAGTAGAGTTGATTGGATTTGATGGGTTCATATGGGGAATGAGGAAAAGAGGGGAACCAGAGGTGATTTCAAGTGTCTTACCTTGAGCAACTTGGTGGATGGTGGTGTCATTTCCTAAAATGGAAAATACAGGATGAGCAGATTAAAGGTGAACGTGCAATGAATGAAATTTTCAATTTTGTGTAGGTTGGTCTGAGATGCCTTTTGGATACATGTTGTATACATGCTTACATGAGTAAGCAACTGGTATGAATTGACGGAGAGGTAGGAAGTACAGGGCAGAGAATAGAGATGTGGGAGTCATCGGTTCCTTGACAGAATTTACAGCATGGTAATGGATAGACTCACCTATGGAACAACACATCTGGAAAAGAGCTGGGAGACTGGGCATGTAGCCTTGGGAGTGGCTATTAAAATAGGAGAAGGGGTGGAGGGGAAGGGAGAGAGGAAGTATGGAGTGCTTAGCAAGAGAAGAATGTGTTTTAAGGATGGGACGATAAACTGCGTTGAGAGCCACTGAGAGGTAGAAAAAAAATCAGGACAGAGAAGTAATAAAAGGCACCAGCAACATGGAAGTCACTGGTGCCTCGCGAAAGACGATCACCTTTGGTGTGTAGAGCACAAAAGCCTGAGGGGGTAAAGAGAGAGTGGAAAGTAAGAATGTCGAGACAGTCGACTATTACTGCCATTTTATGAATGAAGAAACCGAGGCTCAATATTTGACTATCTCATCCAAGGTGAAAGCCAGTGGGGTCAGATCCTGGACCTAGAATCCATGCAAGGATTTGTGCACATCGCCTATGCAAGAGATAGATCCAATTCTCTTCCAAACCGTAAAAGCCAACACTTCCCTCAAAGGAGGCTTCGAGCTAAAGCATCCTTTCATGATGCCGCTTCCATTTTAAAGAAACAAAACAAAACAAAACAAAACAAAAAACAAACGAGAAGGCCTGGTGCGGGCTAGGAAAGAGCGGAGCAGGTACTGGCCCTCTCTGCCGGGGGAAGACCCGCCCCTTTTCCGCAGCCCTAGCCGGGCGCAGTCCACTGCGGCTGCGCGAGCGTGGCGCGCGCGGGGCGGGAACGCGGAAGGGGCTGGGGCTGCGGCTCAGAGGCGAGGAGCAGACCGGGGGCGGGGCCGGCAGTGGGAGTGCGGGGCGCGGGGTGGGCGGCGTGGGACCCAGGGGGCGACAGAGGCAGCAGGAGCCCGAGGCCTGAGGAGAGGAGACCGGCGGCGGTGGCAATGCTGGAGACCCTGCGCGAGCGGCTGCTGAGCGTGCAGCAGGATTTCACCTCCGGGTGGGTATACGGTGGGCGACGAAAAGGGACCTGAGGGGGGCCGGGCCGCGCCTGGGGTGCCCCTGCCTCGCTCCCTACCCCGCGCCTCGGTCCGGGGTCCGTCCCGCCCCGCACCTCCCCGCCCCGCCGAGGAAAGTAACGAACTTCCCGGCGTCCTTGCGTTGGGCGGCGCAAAGTAACTTAGGTCCCTGCGGGCCGCCTCTGACGCGCACCCCCAGGACCGGGAGGCGCTCGGCGGCGTAGCGGAGCTCCCGGGGGGTGTGGGACCCTGCGGTCCCCTCCTGGCAGCATCAGCCGGGCCCTGGAGGGGAGTCATGTGAGAAGCCAGCGCGCCTCACCGCTTCCGTCCCCGCGGCACAGTGGCCTGCGCCCCTTGCCCCAGCTGACACCTGCTTGTGCGCACATGGAGCTGAGCCCGCCGCCCTCCCGGGATCGGATCGCTCCGCGCAACAGCGCGCACCCTCCGGCCCGAGCCTTCCGCGCCGCGGCTCGGCTTTCACGCTCGGCTCCCCGGCCTAACCCTTGGCAAAGCTGACCGCCCCTCCCCGTTAGCGTTCTTTCTCTACCTTTGCCGTGAACTCAGCGCCTCGGCGAAGGAACCCTTAAGCAGGAGAAGCGACAGAACTCTAGGAATGCTTTTAATACCCAGCAGTTCCCAAACTTTGCTTAGAATCACCTGAGAAACTTTCAGAGTTCTGATGCCCAGGTCTCACCCCATACCTGTTAACCAGAGTGGCTGGAGACGGCATTTTAAAGATCCCCAGGGGATTCCAATGGGCACACAACGCCTGGGAACCACAGACCGAGACTCCGGCGTCACATTGCCTAGGCATCCTGGCTCAACTACTAAACCAAACGTAGTTACTCAGCTGCCTTGCCTCAATGTACTGTTTCCGCTACTGTAAAATGGGGATAATGATGGTACTTAAAAGGTTATTACAAGGATTAATGAATTAACATGTAAAACACGAAGTAAGCATTATGTCAGTAGTGTTACTTAGTGCGTAATTCATTTTAATTTTTTCATTCCTTTAAAATGAAAAAGATCTTTGAAAAGGATCTTTCAACTTTAGCTTACAAATCCTGTTGGAGGATGCACTGAATGTGAGAGCATTTCACTCATACTGTTTTAAATTTCTATCCCCCCACCTCCCCACCCCCCCTTTTTTTTTGAGATGGAGTCTTGCTCTGTCGCCCAGGCTGGAGTGCAGTGGCCTGATCTCAGCTCACTGCAACCTCTGCCTCCCGGATTCAAGCAATTCTCCTGCCTCAACCTCCCGAGTAGCTGGGACTACAGGCGCCCGCCACCACGCCTGGCTAATTTTTGTGTTTTTTAGTAGAGACGGGGTTTCGCAGTGTTGGCCAGGCTGGTCTCGAACTCCTGACCTTGTGATCCGCTCGCCTCGGCCTCCCAAAGTGCTGGGATTACAGGCGTGAGCCACCGTACCACCCTTTTTTTTTTTTTTTAAAGTGACAAGGAATCGCCCTGTCGCCCACGCTGGAGTGCAGTGGCGCTATCTATCATAGCTCACTGCAGCCCCCAACTCCTGGGTGCAAGCGATCCTCCCTCCTAGGCTTCCTAAAGTGGTGGGATTATAGGTATCAGTCACTGCTCCCAGCCTTGTTTGGAATTTCTAATGAGAAAGATTGTTAGCCAAAATTTTATCTTATTGGACAAGAATGTTAATACTGTTTGCGTATTGGGCGTTGAATAACAACAAACTGTCAAACGCTTGAGCACTTAACACCCGTCAATCATTTTTGTTAGTTATGGATGCTCAGAGTCATTCACTGATGGGTGTGCTTGCATGCTTACATTTTGTTCTCCTATTCAGTAAAAGTACCTTCTTTTCAGGGTGTAAATTATTGTATTGAAAACCTTTTGGTGTGATGCTGAAATGGCCCATTTGTAGCATGAGAGTGACCTGTTAGTACTTCATGGAATTGCTTGATGGCATAACAGCCCATCTTGTAGTTACTATAACTCTGTAAGTCACATGGTTGCCTCAGAAGCATTCATGCTCCTGACCTTTGTAAGAAGGCGTTTTACCCGGGAATGTAGATTCTGGACTGGGCTCTGGACTGCCGGGCACAAACCATCCTGGAAGATCAGGGTAACCCTAAATGTTTAGAGTTTAGTTAGGGAGAGACAAGCCAAAGGGATCTGGTTAGAACCCCTTGGAAACTGACTTGACTTCTTCAAGATGCCGTAGTCTGGGGCCATTTTGGAGCTAGACATCTTGAGAGGGCTTCATTAGGTCCTTTGTTGGCTTTCTCCTGTACACGTCACTTTCAGCTGACAAACCACTAGACTGTCTGTGCCATTAGCCTGTCACCTGGTGGAGAAGTAACTCATCTCCAAGTGATGTCAGTCTCCCAGTAGACCTGTACCTCTAGTGCCTGATGTTCACTTTCTTCAGGTCCTCAATTTCCTACACCTAATCTGTTCGATTAAACTTTTCCATATTCAGCTTGAGATTGACCTACTTTACATAACTGAGTATTTTTGCCATGAGGAGAAACGATGATGCTAAACACAGGATTCATGTGTTTATTATATGTTGGTAATGTGGGATTCAAAGATTAAAGAGACATGACCTGCATCACTAAAAAAGAAACACATTACATAAATGCAATGCTGATATCACAGCTAATAAAATTAATACTAATTCTTTTATATTATCAATTATGCAGTCCATAATGAGATTTCTTTTGTTTTTAGAAATGACTTTTTACAATTGGTTTGTTCAAATCCAGATCAGATAAGTTTCACACATTAATTTTGTTTAAAAACCAATTTTTGAAACAGATGACTGTTAAAGAGCCACATGGGGAAGCTTTATTGAATCTTCTAACAATTTTGTTGTCCCAGCTACTTGGGAGGCTGAGGCAGGAGGATCCCTTAAGCCCAGGAGTTCAAGACAAGCCTGGGCAACACAAAGAAACCCCATCTCTTGTCTGGGCATGGTGACTCACGCCTGTAATCTCAGCACTTTGGGAGGCCGAAGCAGGCAGATCACGACGTCAGGAGTTCAAGACCAGCCTGGCCAACGTGGTGAAACCCCGTCTCTACTAAAAAATATAAAAATTAGCTGGTCATGGTGGCGTGCGTCTGTAATCCCAGCTATTTGGGAGGCTGAGGCAAGAGAGTGTCTTGAATCCAGGAGGCGGAGATTGCAGTGAGCCGAGATCACACCACTGCACTCCAGACTGGACGACAGAGCAAGACTCCGTCTCAAAAAAAAAAAAAAAAAAAAACCCCATCTCTTAAAAAAGAAAGAAAAAAATAAAAAAGACATGACCCTGGCCACCCAGAGCTATCTCATTGGACCTGGCGTTTCTGTAGAACACTTGGTGGCAGAGCAAGTGTGTGGAAACCAGAGCAGCTGCCTTCTAAAATAATTGGAAACGCCAGGTGTGCAGATTGCCCCAGGGACTGAATGGAAGGTCTCAGGCATTTCTGGGCTCTTTCAGTGTGGCCAGTGCAGCTCCAGCTGCCCGCTGTCACCCAGAGCAGCATCCTCTCTTCAGAGCTTCTCTGATCATTTTCACTTTCTGAAAACTCATATGAAGGCCCTAACTCTAGACAAACTTACTTTTTTTCATTTTTAGTAAAATAGGACGATTCCTTATCAGTCTCATAAGAGAATGTCACTTTGGTGGTGAAATCATGTCCAATGAGAATGAATTTCTACATTCCGTTCAAACTTAGAAAAAGTACAGCTTAAGGTCATTATTCTTTAAGGGCAGTGTAGAGATTACTGGTGGTTTGGGAGGAACTCTAGGTTGTCCATGGACTTATGGCCTTTTCTGTAAGTTTTTATGCATAGTAACAATTATGTCAGCATTGAGAACAACTAGTGATTACATCACATTCTTTCTGCCTTGATTGTGTGGTAGGCCAGCTGAAGGCCACAGACTGAAGAAGACTGGTTCTGAGCTTCACTCAAAGATCTTTTCCCCTCACCTAAAGTGAGTTGTAATTTGATTTAACTGAGTCAGAATTCTTGGAGCCTTTTGGAGAGTTCACATAAAATATCCCTTTTTGCAGAGATTGGCTTGAGCTCTCGGGGAGGCTTTTGGACACACCGAAGTACATGCTTCGAAGCCACTCTGGTCTTTGACTTTTACCTTTTGAGCTGTTATGACCAAAGGCCTCAGGATTGAGGTATTTGACATGCAAACCCTTCAGGGAACTGAAAATCGGATTTACTGATGGGTTTACAGCTGGCTGTCACAGGCTGGTGTTTCCTGTTTGTGATGCACTGGGTTCCTGTGGTTAGGGATAAAAAACCTGCTATTGTTGCAACTAGACAGTGGGTGTTTCCCCCTCAAAGCCCTCGCTGCCCCCGCCCCCCACCTCCGCCCCTGCCCCCCACCTCCACCCTTGCCCGGTGTCCTCATTCTCTCTTCTTCTGTCCTTGTAGTGTCTACCAAAACCTGCACAAAATGGGAGGAGCCAGTCATCTAAACCACCATGTGTTAAATGGTGAAGTGTTGCTTGAAATGTTGTCTTTTCCAGGATTAACCATCTTCTTAATAAAATGAAAAGAATCTCAATATTCAACTTGATTTAATATCTACTGAGTTCCTATTAAGTGCCAGTGCCAGCCACTAGACTGGGCACTCAAAGTGTCCTTTTTCTTAGAAGCTAAAAAAAGATTTGAGAGCCCATATGCTCAGTTTTTCCTAGTCT